CTTGGTAGAGTGCCGTGGCATCATAGCTCACAGCAACCTCAGACTCTTGGGCTCAAGAGATTCTCTTTGCTCAGCCTCCCAAGTAGCTGGGACTATAGGTGTCCACCACAATGCCCGGTTATTTTTAGAGATGAGGCCTCGCTCTGGCTCAGGCGGATCTTGAACCTGTGAGCTCAGGCAATCCACCTGCCTTGGTCTCCCTGAGTGCTAGGAGCCCAACCTCACCTTTATTTCTGATCCCTCCAATCCGTTCATCCCAACCAAAAGCTAGAAGGAACTTAAAATATACAGCTCAAATCATGTCACTTCCTTATTAGAAATCTACAGTCATTTTATATTATTACCCTTAGGATGTAGCCCTGGCTCCCACCTCTTCTTCAGCTTAATCTCTTATAATTCTTCCTTTCACTTATTTTACTCCATTCTACTTGAATGCTCTTAAATGCCCTGAATGTGTGTTGACTCTCTCTTGAAATACTGTTCCTTTTGCCCAGAATACTCTAGGTCTGCCCTGCTCCTTCCTTCGTAAAGAAATTCTGATATCTTTCAGGTCTTATCCTAAAAGGTGTCCCTTGGATGGGACCTTAACTAACCTCTCACCTTCGCTTAAATCAGGAGTCATCAAATTATGACCTGTGGGCCAAATTGGGCCAATTGCCTATGTTTCTGAATAAAGTTTTATTGAAACACAACTTTGTTCACTCATTTATACGAGATCAGACAGTTAATTTCGAGAACTCATCCTAGAAGAAGTACTACACTGCTGAATATCACTGCGATCACCTTCGAGGTACACCCCCCCTTGAAAAGATATACACTGATGCCAGCACCTGGTCCACCTTTTGAAAGAATTTTGGGACTCTTTTTCTGGATAGCCACTGGAGCTGTTGTTGTATGAGGTCTGATAGTTAAGTTTGAAAACTCATCCTAGAAAAAGTGCTACATAACTCACTGCAGAGTATCACTATGGTCAGCAGATGACCCAGGGGAGTCCTTTGAAGGTGACTGTAGTGATAATCAACAATGAGGCATATAGCACTTTTTCTAGAATGAGCTCATGAACTTAATTGTAGCTTGTGTGTAATGGCTAGAGTTCCAGCAACTATTTAATACCATGAAGTAACTCAGAGGTAGAGGGGAAAGATAGAAGGAACTGACCTCTGCCTCCCTGAACACTGGATGGAATTGCCAGTACTGCCCTGACTGCCCACTTCAGGGATTCTTTCATGACAGAGCAAGTGAAATCCTAAGTGTTGAAGCTGTTGTAGTCGGGCTTCAATTCCTAATCGATATAATTAGAGGTCTTATTTCCTCTGCTTTCTCTCTCTCCCCCTCCCAACTCAGATCCCTTCCTTTGGTAAGACCAACCCAAACGTGTCCTGCCTGTTGTGACAATTTTTCAGACCAAGCTATCATCTTGGTCTGATATTGCAATGGAGCCTTGATGTTGCAATTCACCTCTGTCCAATAAACGCCTGGCAACTGACCTTCATTTTCTTATTTAAGCCTTTGGTTTTGACACCTGGCCTCTTCCTGTCTTCTGGGACACATACAGCTTACAGAGAGGAGTGTTGCCAACACTCTCAGGAAGGGAACCACAACTCTTCTTCCTTTAATGTTGATTTTTTTCGTTTATCTGAGAGAAAAGTATTGACCCACACTATGTGCCAGGCACTGTGCTGAGCATAACTCTCAAGGGCCTTCATTCTAATATCCTAAATGATCAACTACCACTTCTTCTTAAAAAAACCTCTGTCTATCTATTTCGCCTATTTGTCAACCATCAGTTGTCTACTTATCTATTCATCTATTTGTCAAGACACTGCGTGTGTTAAGAGGGAAGTTTCAAAACAGAAATGTATTTGCAACAAAAAAGCACAAGTGGTGAGATGATCCCGCTCAGGCAGTGGCACACCAGGCCCTGCAAGCCAAATTCAGTCCACCACCTGTTTTTGCAGAGCTCAAGATGTGAGAATGGTTTTTATCTTTTTAAATTATTGAAAACAAATCAAAGAGAGAACAATAGTTCGTGTCACAAAAAATTAGATAAAATTTGCATTTTGGTATCTATAAATAATTTTGTATTGGAGCCCAGCACGGCCTACTCATTGACATCTATGACCTCTTTTGCTCCACAAAAGAGAAGAATATTTAGGACAGAGACCAGACAGCCCACAAAGCCCACACTTTCCAAATTTGACAAGACAAATTTGCTGATCCGCAAATTAAGAGAATTCCTCCTCACCTCAGTCCCCAATTTGGTGGGGAGAAAAATAAGAAAACCCCAACGGGTTTGGTAAAGACACTGGGACACCTTATGGTAAGGGATATTCGTAGGGAGTAGGTATTCTTCACTTCCAGCTGAAAAGCTACTGAGAAATAATTCAATAAGATGATAAGGAGACGATCGCTCTTGCAACACTTGCCTGGAAAAATTCAAGTGGCCTCCCATGTGAGGGGAGGAGAAATGGCCTAGGGAAAGATGGAACTGAAGGACTTACCTGTTTTCCATCCTCCATCGCCATGGCTGAAGCAGCTCAAGCAAACCTTTGGCTTCACCGACCCTGGTGAGTTCAGCAAAGGAAATATCTCATTGCTCAACCCCAGGAGTGGGGAAATGGAGGGAAGTGAGGCTGCCATTGAGCCCAAGCTGCACATGCTCCTTGGCTGGCCCCAGAGGACAAGTGTTGCAAGTGCACCCGGTGTTTGCAAAGTCAAAGTCCCTGAACCAAAGGAACTCGGTGTTTTTCACTGTAATTGAAGTTGATTTGATTTATATTTACCCTCTAAGGTCAGGGAGACCTGAATCTAACATCAGTCCATCTCTTCTTCCCCTAAGTGTTTTCTAATCTTTCTTTCGTGGTGTAAATGGTCCACAGTTTCACCATCCTCCTGTCATCCTTATTTTGTTCTTGCCAGGGTGCCAACTCCCGGCAAGCCCACACTGAGCATGGGAAACTTTGGATGGCTGGGCCTGCCTCAGGGAAGTCAGCCAATTTATTCTTCTTTTATGGCCTTTGATACGGTCATCATCATTATTTTTTGTAATATCATGCACTAGTCAATCCTAGTAGGGGACAAATATATACAGGGTGGCTATAAAGTCAGTGTGCAATTTATAATTAAACTAACTTGGGCAGCACCTGTGGCTCAAAGGCATCGGCCCCATATGCCAGAGGTGGTGGGTTCAAACCCAGCCCCGGCCCCCCCAAAACAAAAAAAAAAAACTGCAAAAAAAAAAATTAAACTAACTTTATGGTCACCCTGTATATATTTATTCATTCTTTTAAATAAATAATATATTTATTTTTATAAATTTACATATGTATTTATCTACATAAAATATAAATATATAAATATTTGCCTCAGATCTTCTAAAGTAAATGAATAGCCTGTGTCAATAAATTAATGTATGTGGGACAACAAATTCTTTTCATCTATCAATGAAAAGAAACCAGGGAATGGTATGGTTTAAGAGGATGGTGGAATCAGAAAGATTTTATTATTTATTATAGGTGTGAGCCACTGTTCCCGGCTGGGAAATTACATTACATCT